AAGTTATTTTTCTGCAACATCTCCTTTGGGCACAGGCAGGCTATCTGGGAGCACTGTCACAGGCTGGGGATGGGAACGGGGACAGCAGTGCTGCGAGCCCCACTGGGGACTGCTCAGCACAAGGGTTGGTGCTGTGTTTCTCCCTCTGGCACCAGGGAATATCCTGGTCCTGAGCTTTTGCTATCCCACAAACTGCAGCTCACTTGGCAGCTTTGCTGCTCCCAGCTCTGTCCCACCCCCAGGACAGGGACTCTTTGGCCCTGGGCGATGCCAGCTGTGATTTCATTCCTCTGATGGATGACTGTCTGGCACCTTTGCTACACTTGGCTCTGCATTGCTGACTGATGAGGGTCATTTGCAGAGCTGCTGTTGGTGGGACATATCCTGACCTCTCCCCAGGGAAGACTCACTCTTCCTCCTGCTGAGCATCACTGCAGACCCCAGAGAGCTGTGGGTGATGGCACTGCCCGAGGCTGGGTACGTGGCTGAGCCCTGCACAGGGATGATTGTCAGCCACAGGTTTTAGGGGCAGCTGAGTTCAGATCAGCCTTGGGATACCAGCTCCTCCTGACTTGCCAGCTGACCCAGTGTTGCCCCGCGGGGCCAAGCAGGGGCTGTGAGTGCTGCTGGTGGGCTGCTGTGCTCTGCTCCCCTCCTGGAACGGTGCTGTGCCCTGGGGCTGGGGACATTGCAGGGGGTCTTTTTGTGGGATGCACATTTTCCACCCATCACCATCCTGCATTTATTGACAGGTTACTGAGGGAGATGGGGGAGTTTTGGCACTGCCTGTTGGTTTGTTATTGAGGTTGTATTCTAGCAGGAGGGTGCCATGGAAGGGGTGGGTTGGTCTCCCCATCCAGCTGCCACTGGAAGGGGACTGGTGACTGCAGCTCTATGGGAGGACAAGGACATTTTTAAGCACCTGTCTCCTGTTTTTCCTCTGGGGAGACCATGGAGCAGCCCAGGCTTGGTTCCTCTATGGGAAGTGGGTGTTAGCCCAGCACTGGGTAACCCTCAGCATGGTAGCAATGGCTGGATCCAGCTTCCAAGGACACATCAGCTGCTGGTGGCTCGATACAAAGTGCCCGTGGCCATCCTGATGGAAGTCATTGCTGGGGGCAGGGAAGGTTCCTTCGGAGCCAGCTTTCAGGCTTTATTTCAACAGTGTGTGGAGGTGGGGATGGGAAATTCCTACCCCTTCTGGTGCCACTGAAGGATGGAGTCTCAGCTTGTGTGTGTTTGTGTGCTTTGAAGCTGCCGAGCTGCAGAGTGATGCATGGGAAGCGACAAGGCACTTAACCCGGCAGCCGTCCCGCCGCAGGTAAAACACTGCCAGCCCTTTCTGTTCCGTGCCGGCCGCTGGATGGCCCTTACAGAAGGGTGGAGAGCAGAGCGGATTCTGGAAAAGGAGCTGTTGCTGGCAGGGACAGGGCTTCGTGCTGCAATGTCCCTTGTGTCCAGAGTGGCAGCACATGGTTGGGCACTGCTCCTCATCTTTGGGTAGAGCTGTTTTCCAGCAAGGAGGGGCAGCTCCCAGACTTGCTTATGGTTTGGATGCTGAAAAGAGAAAGAGGGTGGTGTGTCCTGCTCAGCAGAGCCCTTGTGTTCACTAAAGCCAGGACAGCAAAACCCTAGTCCTGGTCACCCCTCTCCTGTTGTTAAACTGCATGTGCTGAATGTGCTCCCTCCCCTGCCCTGGGGACCCTGGAATCGGGCCCCCCTCAGTTTCCTCCTTGAGAAAACGCCCATGTTCTTTTTTTTTTTCTTTTTCCTTTATAACAAACTAAAGTGTAACTTGCACCCGACCTGACCTACTGCACGTGCCTATACCTGCTGCCCCTGTGAGTCCAACCACAGTTTACTCTCTGTTGCATCTCTCTTGCTGTGTGGTTTCCCTCCTGCCCTGCTCCCTCTGGGGTCCATCACCCTGGCTTTGGGTGTTGCTCTGACCGCCCTGTCCCTTCTCTCTCAGCAAAGGGGATACTTCTGCCTGTCAGGTCTGTTCCCACAGCTCAGCTCTGCTGGAGGGACCTGGCCCCAGAGCATCCTTGGAAGGCTGAAAGGTGCAATTTCCCTTTCCCTCTGCAAATTAAAGCCCTTGAAGGGTAGCCTTGACAAAATCGTGGTTTATGTACAACTGGTGCCCACTTCTAGGAAAGAAAAGTCCTCTTTCCTCACCTGCCTGCAAACCCTGGAGCAGACAGGAGCTAGGTTGTGCTGTTCTGCCAGTGCCAAGATCCTGGTCTTCATCCTTGCCCCTGTCATCCCCTGACAAATGCCAGGGGATGTATTTGTTCATCCCTATAGGTTTGCAGCTCACTGTCACCCTGTTGGGGATGCCACATCCTTGGGGAGAATTTGCCTTCTTTGAGTGGCTTTTTGTGATGTCCTGCTGGATCCATGACCTCCTGGAGCTATTCTTCATCCCCCACAATGATGGAGTTGCCTTGGTGTGAGCTCAGAGGGTCCCATGTTCTGCTTGTGGGCACTTTGTGGCCAACCTGTCTAGAAGTGGCTGCTGGATGCAGACCCATGTCCCTGTCCTGGAGCTGGGTACCATGCAACACAATTTTCCTGGCATTTGGGGCTCAGCTTAGCCCCACAAGGCTGTGAAAGGGCTTCTCTGGCGGCTATTTGCTAGAAACCTAGAGAAACAACCCCAAAACCAGGGCTCAGGATGCATAAGCATTGTGACCTGCTTCTTGCAGATGTATAGGATACTTGGAGCAAACACAGTGACAAACCAGAGCTCCAAAGGGACTTTGCACCTTTTGTCCCATTTGTCCCCATGCTGGTGTTTGCCTCCCCTCAGAGGCTGGAGCCCAGCATGGCCTTCATCCCCTTCTCTTCCTCCTTTCCCTACCTGCAGCATCAGTCCTGTGCTGAGTTTGCTGGCTTGAGGCACTGTGGGAAGGGAGGGAGGGGGTCTGCAGCCATGGGGCAACACCAGCTGGGACAGATGGGGCTGAGTGAAAACATTGGGGTCCAAATGGGGGAACAGGGGGTGGCATTGGGGTCAGTACAGTGAGGGGACCTACTATTAACACAGGGCAACTTGGATGCAGTGGCCATGGGCCAGGCTGGTGTGGGGAGTCCTTCACCCAGCGCTGTAGCCTGGCCAAGGCAAAGCCCCGTTCCCCTTCTGGCTGTCTCAAAGCAGATCCCTGGGCTCAGGTCCCGTGTTGCACTGGGGTGGGGGTGCATGCTGCAGTCTGGGCTGCATGGGGGGTCTGGTGCATGTTTTGCCTTCAGGCCGTGGGTACCAGCAGGATCAAACCCAGCCTGAGCTTAGGGAGGATGCAATGTCCTGGCTCTGCTACAGGCTGTTTCTTGGGCTTTATTCTATCTTGCCTCCCTGCAGAGCCCCTCGGAGAGGGTCCCCAGGGAGCAGGTAATTGTCCTCAAGGCTAAGGGACAGAATCTGGCCCTGCCATTTCCTGACTCTCTGGGCACCTGGGAGTCTCCCAGACACCCTGGTATGATGGGGGTGTGCAGAGATGCTGGGTGTGGGTAACTTAGCAGGGTTGTCCTCATCCTTCCCAAGGACAGATACTCCAGTGCTGGGTTTGTCCTGGGATTGAGCAGGAAGGTCGACCAGATCCTGGGCTGGGTTTTGCCTTCCTGCTCCTCCAGCCTCACGCTGCATGTGCTGCCTCCGCTCAGATCACCCCGCGCCGGGTGCCCAACCCTGCTGCCCATCGGGACCGGGGGCTGACGCTGTGTTAATTCTTCTGCTTGGTGACTCCTTCTTTCTTCCAGGCAACCCGCCAGTCCAAACTAAAAAAGCGCTGAAGCAGCGATTCCTCAAACTGCTGCCCTGCTGCCGGCCCAAATCCATCCCCTCGCTCAGTGAAAGCAAGTGCTTCTTCTTGCCTTTGTGTGTGTTTGTCCCCGGCGGTGCTGCTGCCTGCTCTCCGCCCTGGCCCTGCCTGCGGGAAGGGGACGCCTCCACCTCTCCCCTGCCCTGGCTGTCAGGATCAGCCCTGCCCTGGAGGGGTCCGATCTCATGGGCTCTGCACCCACCTCTGTCGTTACCTGCTCACAGGCTGGTTTTCTCCCTCTTTGTCTCCCTGCAGCAGCTCCCATGGGAGCAAGAACTGCTTGGGAGCTGGCTCAGGGCAGCAGGGCCCTCCTGGCACTGGTCTAAGGGGTGGGGAGTTGTTTCTCTAAGCTGAGGGTTGGTTTGGAGATGGAGGTGTGATGGGACGGTGAAAGAGGCTGAGCAGGGAGTGAGTGCAGAGTCCTTTAGCCCCCTGTACTGGGTGAGCTTGGTTCCTTGGTGAGTCCAAGCCCCTGGTCAGGATCTCTCCCAGCTCCATGGTGCAAGCCAAACCCCCCTGGCAGAAGGTGAGTATGGAGGGGCAGGGTCTGAACCAGCCCACAAAGAGGGAGTACCTGCTGTGTGCCCCTCTTGTTTGAGTGGGGTCTAGGGGTGCTGGTTGCTGCAGGCAGGGGCTGTGCAGCTTGGCAGATGGTGGAGAGAAGCCATCAAGGAAGGTGGGAGCACAGTGGGTAGAAAAGAATCTGGAAAGGCGGGGGGGGGGGGGGGAGGGAAGGGGGGGGGGGGGGGGGGGGGGGGGGGGGGCAGCATTTGGGGCTGGGGTTTCTGAGGGGCAATTCTCCTGCTGGATGTGAGCCCTGGTGCTGCAGAACATCAAGGGTCTGAACTCCACAGGGCAGATGCCTGTGCTGGTGGGAGGAGAAGGGCAGGCATGGAGGGTTTCAGCACTGGGGGGTTTTCACACTTCTGTGCCCAGCCTGGGCTGTACTGGAGTGGGGTTGTTGCCCAGTCCTGGTCTGTAACTGGGGTGTCTATGAGTGTCCTCTTCTGGCATAGACCTAGCTCTGGCTGAGCAGAGTACCCCAAAAATGTGTCAACCTGGGCAGGTGTGAGAGGACAGCGTGTGCTGTGCAAGGTGTCTCTCTGCCCCCTGGCATGACAAGATAGGGCAGGACAGTGTTGGCCTCAGCCACCCTCTCTTTCCCTGGGTTCCTTGCAGACAGTGTTGAGGATGAGTTTGAGCTCTCCACCGTCTGCCACCGCCCCGAGGGGCTGGAGCAGCTCCAGGAGCAGACCAAGTTCACCCGCAAAGAGCTGCAGGTCCTGTACCGAGGCTTCAAGAATGTGAGTACTCCTTGACCAGCTTTGATAGCCCTCACCTCTGCTGCCATGTCCACCTTGGGTTACTGCTTTGTTTGTGAAAGTTTTTGGGGTTGAAGTTTACATAGGCTACAGCCTGATCTTACTTCCAGGGAGCTCAGTGGGGAGACCTGATCCTGTGCTCTGTTTGCTTGGGTGCAGAGAGCCCCCTTCCCAGGTGCCTGGGATTCAGAGCCCCTCCAGTGAGGGGTGCAGTCCAAAAAATTAGGGGGATGCTCTAAGCAGCCTTTCTAGCCACCCCACTAGGTGCACAGGGCTGGAGGGCAAGGCAAGGCACCACAGGTTTTTAGGGGGTGCTCAGCCCTTTTTTGCAATGTGGAATTGACACTGTGATCTTGCTCTGGCAGGAGTGCCCAAGTGGCATTGTCAACGAAGAAAACTTCAAACAGATCTATTCACAGTTCTTCCCTCAAGGAGGTGAGTGCCCATCCCCATCCTGTCCCCATACACATGGGTGCCTCTGTGGGGCAGAGTGTCACACAGCCCCTCCTCATGCTGTCTGCCTCCCTGCAGACTCCAGCACCTACGCCACCTTCCTCTTCAACGCCTTCGACACTGACCATGATGGCTCCGTCAGCTTTGAGGTGAGCTGTGTCCAAAGAAGGTGAATGGGTGCAGTGGGGCAAGGAGAGCACAGCTCTCCAGGGACCATGGACTGGGGTCAGCAGTGGTGTTGTTGCAGATGCATGAAGAGTTGGCAGGCCTAGTGGAGTTTATTAAGTTTCCAGAGGCAACAGAAAACCAATTAAAAGAAAAAAAAAAAAGGAGGCTTTCTGTATTTTCTGGGTAGGGTTGTGTAGAGACCCAGACTGGCAGACACAGCCGTGGCTGGGTCTTGTTCAGGCTTTGGCTGAACACATTGTCTTCTTGGTTGCTGTGACCCAAGGGAGTAGTGTGGGAAATGTAGAGTTAAGCAATTTTTTCTCCCCCAACTCTTTTTGATACCCAACATTTTGGCTTGTCAGCCCAGCCCCAGGACTTAACAGCTTTGGGGCTGAGTTCCTCTCTGCAGGAGAATCAAGCAGGGCTGTACTCTGTGTCTCTGAGGCCCTTTGTGGCTGTAACTCCCATTTGCCTGCCTTGTTCATCCTTGCAGGACTTTGTGTCTGGACTGTCCACCATCCTGCGGGGCACCATTGATGATCGCCTGAACTGGGCCTTCAACCTCTATGACCTGAACAAAGATGGCTGCATCACCAAAGAGGTGGGATGGGGGTCCAGACTGGTCCCCAAGGTCAGTGCAAGTCTGCACCTAGCAAGGACAAGGGCAGAACTCAGCTGAGCTCTGGAGGAGAGCCCAGGGGATCAATATTTAACTGAGCTCATCTTTGCAAATATCCCTCCTGGTTCCCTGGCACTGGTGTGACTCTGGGATGGAGGGTGGATGAGTGGTGTGCAGCTTTGGGGCTCCATCCACACGTGGCCCCACACTGTGCACAGAGCCAGCAGAAACATATCTGAGCACCTCAAAGGTCCTTCAGGAGCATCAAGAAAAAGGTGTGGGTTGGAGACCAGGTGGAGGCAGAGCCCCATGTTGACACTGCAACCCTGCTTCCCTTCCCATCAGGAAATGCTGGACATCATGAAGTCCATCTATGACATGATGGGCAAATACACCTACCCGGCCATGCGGGAGGAAGCACCCCGGGAGCATGTGGAGAACTTCTTCCAGGTGAGCTGAGTATATCCTCACAAAGCATGAGCACATGGGGAAGCAGATCTCCAGCACAGAGCTGCAGTGGATGCAGTAGAAAACACCCCACTCTGGGGATGAAGCAGGGCTGTGCTGGTCCTAGTTGGTGCTTGGGCATACCTGGGGCCAGGGGTGCACTGTGGCCAGCCCCTGTGGGAGCTAGGCAAGGGCTACCAGGTTCTCCCTAGGGCTGGGGCTGTCCCTGCTATGCTCCCTGTGCTGTGCTTGTCTGCAGAAAATGGACCGGAATAAGGATGGCGTGGTGACAATCGAGGAGTTCCTGGAGTCCTGCCAGAAGGTAAAGTCACCAGCACTCTTCTCTGAGCTAGGTCACCACCCTTTTCCTTGGGGACCTTTGTCCCTCTTGCTTCTTTCCTGCATAGAGGGAGTGAAGCCAGGGCTCCCAGGGGCAAGGGTGGAACTCTGCTTTGGGAACTGTACCCAAGCCAGCATCCTTGTACAGACGAGGAGAGCCATGGATCCCAGTAGGGCTTGGAAACTGCCTGTAATCCCTGGGGGTCTTGTCCCATGTGCCAGAGTTGCCATGAGGGTAAAGCCAGATTTGGGGGAGCTTCCCAGATTGCTGTTCTGTCCTCAACTTGCACACTTCCCACCTGCTCCTGACAGGATGAGAACATCATGCGATCCATGCAGCTCTTCGACAGCGTGATTTAGCTCCCGGACCTGCCTCCAGATGAGCTGTCCTGATACTGGGCCCAGAACCTTCTTCTCTCTCTTGACTTTTCCTTTGAGACTTCCCTCCTCTGGCTGCACAGACACCTCCATGGAAAGGGGCCTTCCTTCCATGAGATGCAGTCAGTGCCGAGATCTTTCCTTTCCCCTGGCCCAGCTCTGCTTTCCTTGGGGAATCCCAAGCAGGTGCTCCCAGATGTTGGAGCATGGGCATGGCTGGCACGGGATGAGAATACTACCTGGATGGACCTCCCTGCACCCATCCTGGTGGAAAAGATGCATCCTTGGGCTGCACTAGAGGTTTTCCCTGTGCACACCACCCTGTGCAGCCACAGCTCGCCTACCCTGATCCTCTCCAGCCCCAGGAGCCCCCATCCCAGCTCCAGCCCAAATTCTCCAGCAACGCAGTCTAGAAACCAATCAAGTCTTGCAATGGGCACAGTCAGTCCCTCGGCTTCCTCTCCTGCCCTGGCTGTGCCCTGCTGTGGGAAGCATGTGTGGTGTATCCACTGTGAGCCACCGGCCACCCTCCCTGTCCTGGGCCAGTGGGTGGGCAGAGGGGCTGTGCCTGGAGAAGGCAGCCACGTGAGCCCTTGGGGTTCATTGCTGCATGAGCTGTGGGGAGCATCCCCTGATCCCGGGATCCTACGAAGCTCTATCTGACAGGAGCAGAGGGGAGGCTAAAGGGACTTCGAGGTGACTTGTGGCACTTGTCCCCAAGGATAGACGATGCAGGGCTGGGAGAGCTGCAACCTCAGCCCCTGTCCCTCAGGTTTGGGGTGCTGGCACAGGGGGACCCCAGGGATCCACTTTGAGGCTCTAGTGGAGAGACACTCTTTCCAACCCTTCCTGAGAATGTGACAGCCACGGTATGGGGACATGTGGAAGAGGGAGACGGGCTTGTCTCTGGTGGCCATTCTGGTCCCATAGGGCTCACAGCCATGCTCCTAGCATCATTAGCTGCTGATCTTGCCCTGCTCCTGTGCCCTGGCCCATCCCAGCCCACCTGCTGCCCTGGGGATGGGGGAATGAGCAATGATGCAGAGAGGTGCCCCACAGGATAGCCCTGTGCTGGTGACATGGCTGAGCTGGCAGCTCCTGGAGGAGAAAGTCAAGGCTGGGGTTAGGCAGGAGTCACTGCCATGCTGCTGGCAGGCTGGAGGGTCACCTTGGGGCAGGGGACTCTTCTCCTTTTCCCAGCATGGACATGTGAGAGCCTGCGTGGGGACCTTGGGGATGGAGAGTCTGGGTTTGTGTCCCCACCAGCTCCTTGGAGATGGGTGTGTGCAGATAGGCCTATCCTGCCCACATACCACTTCAAGTCATAGCTGGGAGAGTGATGCCCATGGGCTAATGATCCCATGCCAACTCCAGAAGCCCCTCACAGGCACTGGGAATGTACCCAGCCCTGACAACCCCGTCTGTGGCTCCATTCTCTGTATCCCTGGCCAGGGGTGGTTTGGGCTGGCCTGAGCTTTGATGTCTGGGATCAGCACCCATGCTGGGTCAGACCCAGGCTGAGGCCCTGGGGCTCGAGACATTAGAATTTAACCCCTGGGGCTCTGAGCCAAAGCTAAGGGGCTGCTTCCTGGGGGATGATCCCTGTCCCAGCCCTTGCAGACATCACATGTTTTTTAGGCTCATTTGACACATTATTTATCTTGCAGACATGATGTGTTTTTTTAGGTTCATTCAACACACTGTTCATCTCATAGACCTGCTCCCATGTTTGCTGTGGGACTGAGCTCCCACTTGCATTCTCCTAAGGGTGGGAGGGCCTTACCCCTCCATCTCTTCGGCCCTGTTCTCCCTCCTCCCAGCTCTCTGGGGTACCCATTGTTCGCTGCCATGTGGAGCACCTGCCGCCTCCCCCCTCACGCTGTAGGTCGCATGGTGTGACCCCCTGCCCCGGGGCATGGTGACCCACAACCTGCTTGGCATCTCCAGTCTGTATATTTTGTATTATAACAATTATATGAGTTTAAAAAACAAAACAAAAAACCAACAAAAAACCAATAAAATCTAACCACAATCGCTATGCACACTACTGTTCTGTCTTTGCATCTGTCAGCTGCCTGGGATGGGAAGGCAGGAAAAAAGAGGGGTCTCTGCAGAGGGTTGGTATCTTTTTTGGGGTGGTGTGGTTGCAGGGTGCTCTGCATGGGTGCTCTGGGAGGTTTCATGAGGGACAGGGTGCACACTGAGCTTAGCCATGCTGTTGGTGGTCCTGTAAATACAGATTTTCTGCTGCTAAGAGGCTAGAGGTGTTAAGGTTAAAAAGCTCTTGAATCAAGTGTGTCATATTTCAGGAGTCAGGCTGCCAGGTGTGTTTTCAGCTTGCCACAGATGCTGCTGGGGGAACCCAAGCTTGGGACCAGGTGGCCCTTGTTAGGATGTGGCATTTAAAGCTGAGTTAACAGGAACATGGTCGCCTGCCACCTTGAGGAGGTAGGTATGGGGAGGGGTTTATCTTGTGGCAATTATTGATTGTTGGAAAAGTCCAGCATTGAAAACTGGGAAAAATTAAGTAAACAGTCAATGTAAGTAAGAAAGTAGCAGAACCAGAGAACAGTGGACCTGATGTGGGACAGCAAAATGGTCCAGCATTCTACAGCCTGTAGTCCAGGAACTGAAAGCTCAATGCAAAGAGCTGCCTGGAAACCAAACAGAGCCTTAAAAGGATGGGCTCTGACAGTGGGGGGAATTACCATTGTGGGACTGGGTAAGCAGCAAGTCTGATCTTTCCAAAGACTCTGACTCTCCAGGGACCTTTTTGGGCTGCTGGCCCAAAAAGGCTGTGTATGGCAGTGTATGGCAGTATGAATGGGCCTGAGCACGTTTTCCCCTCTAACCCACTTTGCCCGGTATATCCTATCCCCTGAGCTCTGTTTGGCTGGTTGCTATTTCGGGCAATGACATCCAAGGGCTTGATGTGCCCTCTTGTGGCACAGGGATGCTGTGAGCCACTGATGGGATCCCTTGGGTCCTTGTCCACAGGGGGAAGGGCAGGAAAGAGGCTGAGGTGATAATTGGAAAAACAGCACTGTGGGCCCCAGCCTTCAAATGCTGCCATAGCCTTTTCACACCAGATGGGAAAAGGTTTGTGCAGGGAGTGTAGCTTTTGGAGTGGGGGGTGGGAAAACATCTCTGGGAGTCAAAAATAATCTGTTTAGCTCTCCTCCAAACAGGCCCTCAGGAAGAGCCTGCGGGCAGGGAGGCCTGGATCCTTTAGTTGTGCCTTCAGCTTCCCATAAGAAGCTGGCTGTGTGAGCCAGGGCTTGGATGACCCTTAGTAGGAGGTGGCATTTAAGGGTGGACAGCCAAGTCATTTGGTCTATGATGAGAACAGAGAGAAGAACTGATGGATCCTTGGAGAAGGGCAGCTTGTCTTGTTTCTAGACAAGTTTTTCCCAGCTTTCTGAGGTAAAATTAATAGTAGCAAGTGGTAAAACTGCTGGGCAACTGAATGAGGCAGCTGATACAGCCTGGGGCAGTGATTCACTCCAGCATCCTGAATGCTGCCTAGAAACACAACCATTTTGTAAAGGGATGAGATTCCGGCACTAGAACTGTAGGATTATTTTGCCATGATCAGAGACATGAGCACCCCTTCAGGGTGTTTTGTGATGCTGTGTTAGTCCTGTGTGTTCTCCACTTAGATTTGGTGCATTTCTCCTCTCTAACCCTTCTGAAAAGTTTGTTCACGTATTGATATAATTTAACTGGTTTCTATTTAGGGCATCTGTACCATTTCTATTTTTGCTCTTTGAAAGCTTTGGCCTAATGAGGATGGTAACTAGAGATGCCCCTTGGCCAGGGGCTCTGCTGCAGCTTCCCGAGCACAGGTATTGATGGTGCCGAAAATGCAGCCGTCTGCGGTTTCTTGTTATCAGTGGGAATAAGGGGCAACGTGGCTGGAACGCGATGTGTCTGCCCTGACGTCTGCAGGCCTTCTCCAGATCTTCCTCTCGAGGTGGGGCTTTCGGCAGCTCTTTGCTAACTTGTTTCTTGTTGGCCACTACCCGCTGCAGCCTCGCCAGTGCCGGGAAGGCCGGCAGCATCACCCTGCCGGCCTCTCTCCAAGGGCACGGGAGAGGTCACCTCAGCCCTGGGGTCCCTCGTGCTCCTCTGCGGCTGCAGCGGAAGAGATGCTGTGTGACCTCAGAGTCCTCCTCTGATCTAGAGGTACCATCGCACCCTTGAGCACTGTCGCGGCCTCTCCCAGGCACGGAAACCCCTCCAGGCATGCCACGGGCCGTGCCGTGCCGTGCCGTGCCGTGCCACGCCATGAGGCCGGAGCTGTCCCCCCTCAGCAGCTCGGCCCGGTGTCCCCGGCGGGCCCCGCTGCGCTTGCGCGGCAGCGCCAGAAGTAGGGCACGTCTCTCGGGAGCCGCGCGCCCGCCCTCCCGCGCAGGCGCGCTCCCGCCGGGGCGCCGCGCCGCGAGGCGCACGCGCGGTGCCGAGGTAAACACTGCGTCCCCCACCCTGCTTCCCCCTCGGCGCCGCTTCCCGACACAAACCCCACGGCGCACGCGCGCTGCCCCTCTGCCGCTTCCCCCTCGGTCCCCGCGGCCCCTCGCGCGTGCGCCGCGGGCGCGCTCTGCCTCCCCGCGCAAGCGCCCTGGGGCCGCCGCGGCCTCGCCCCTCCCGCTGCCGGCCCCGCCGAGCACGCGCTGTGCGCGCCCTCCCGCGCCCCGCGCCTGCGCAGAGCGCGCGCGCCGCCCGCCCGCCTCATTCCCCGAGGAGCCTCCCGAGCCCCAGCGCGTTGTTCCCGCTCCACCGGCGCGGTCCCGGCCGCCCGCGCCCCTCGCTCTCTTCCCGCCGAGGCAGACGCTTCCCCTGCCCCCGCGGCGCTCCCGCGGGGCGCGGCGGCTGCGGGCGGAGCGGCGCGGACCGGTTGGGGCCGGTTCCCCGCGCAGGCGCAGCGCCCCGTAAACAGGAAGCGGCGGCGGCGGCCCCGGAGCGGCGGAGACAAAGGGGCTGCGGAGCGGGGACGGCAGGGACCCGGCTCGCCTCGGCCCGGCTCGCGGCGGCGCTGGCGGCGGGCGGCAGGATGGTGCAGAAGGAGGGGCAGGCGGCGCTGGAGGAGCCCCAGGGCAGTCCCAACCCGGCCGGGGTGCCCGGCGCCCCCTTAGAGCCGCCGGGCGCTGCGGCAGGGCCGGTCCCGGGGGGCGAGGAGACCGACACCGAGACGGAGACTGCGCTGGGCTCCCGCCGCTTCCTCTGCGGAGTCGTCGAAGGTGAGAGCTTTCGGAGGGGGTCTCCCCTGGGAGACGGGGGTGGGCTGGTCCCAGCTGGCTTTGCTTTGCCGTCTCCTCCCCCGCCCCGAGGAGCCCGCTCGGCGGGGAGGCGGCGTGCGGTTCTTGGCCGGGACTCCGCCGGCGTGGGGAGGAGCCGCGGCTCCCGGGCGGGGCTTCTGCCCCCGGGGCTTGCGCTGGAGCGGGGAGCGCCCTTCGCTGGCAGCTGTGCGGCGGGGCGCGGGCAGGGCTGGCACCCAGCGCGCCGCTGAGGCTCCGAGAGGCTGAGGCAGTGCTGGGGCTCGCCTGCTCGTACGTGTCGAAAGGGGGAAGAGGGAGAGAGCAGCGCTACCGCGCGATTATCCAGCTGTGCGTGCTCTTCCTGCGCTCCGGAGGCTCACGCTCTGTCCTGAGGAGGGAATAGGTGATTCCGTGGACTTTCTCTCAGTAATTAATATTAAATGTACCTTGTTCTCTAAAATGATTTCGCGTATCATTTTAATTGTAGAACAATCCTTTGTCTTTTAGCACGGTTGCACCATTAAAAGGTTTGAATTGTTCTTGAAGCTGCAGAATAAATGGACTTTTTGCAGTTCTCAGGAATGCATTTCTGAAAGGTCAGCTAAGGTAGATGGTTGAAAGTCAGCAGGAAAAATGGTTTATTCCCAGCTCAACAGTTGGTTTTAAATGGTTTATTTCCCGTGGTCACATATTATTTCTGTACCATTAATGATTTTCCAGTAGGAAAACAAAATTATTAGCAGATGGAATAGAGAGGAGAACAGGCAGTTCATCAAATCAGTATTTGCATTGCTTTGCAGGCTATTTTCAGTTCGTATCTTAAAAAAATCCCCATTTGTCTTCTGCAAATATGACTGTGAGATGTGAATTCGTAGGGCTTAAATACACTCAGTGTGGAGAAAAATGCCTTTCTTTTGCTAATAGACTTAATTTTGTGAAGGTAGATAGCCAATTGAGGCCTTTGGAGACACATAACAGTGAAGAAAAACACAGATTGTAACAGCATGTTTTGTCATGTTCCTGCTGATACACCTGGAACATCAGTTGTTCATCCAGGTCTCTATCAGAACCACTGAGAATGCCGTAATAAATATTCTTGTCATGTTAGTTACATCATTGTTTGCCTCAGCATATATTTTGTTGCAGGTGTTCCTAAGCGTACTGTGCACAAAACAAAGCAAGAAAATGGCCTCTGCCCAAAGAAGCCGTCAAACACTGGTTAGGAGTTACCAGTCTAAAAATAATATGTGTACAGGGAAAAAAAGGAATAGGGGAGTGTTTAAAAAAAGAAAAAAGGAAACAAAAAACCACCACCAACAGAAAAACAAACTTGTGGTGAAGGAGGTAAAGCGTAGTGAGTGAAAACATCTGTCTCATAGTGGCTCAAGGGGATTATAGAGCTAAGAGAAAAACAGAAGTTAACTTCAGAAGTGTACCTAAATACTTAAATATCAAGTAGTGGTTAATACAGACTACGGTGCGGTGAGGTTGCAGTGCTGAGGTGGAGAGTTTGGCTCTTTAGTAGAAAAGGCAGAGGGCAATTGGCCAAATACTGGGTGTGCACTCTAAGACTTGTGAAAAGTGTATGCCACTTACCAGATTTGCTGTTTTGCAGAGTGATAAGGTCTAAGAGATTGTTAAATGCAAAGCTTTGGTGCACTTCCTCTAGGATGTTGTGACTTGTAGTGATGGAGAGCATGGTAATGGGATGAGGTATTTTGGCATAATCTGTTGACTTTGCATTAACCTGACACCCAGTTCTGAGGGAGTAATGCAAATCTAGG